CATCGTCTTCGTTTTCTTTCTTCTGTTCTTCTTTGTTGTTGCAGGTAAATTGTTCGGTTTTCTCTACGGTATTTTCTGTTGCTTCGGTTGCTGTTGTTTCTTTTCTTCTTTTTTTTGTTGCGTTTCTGTAATTTGCCCTTCTGAGGTTGGTTATGGCCGGTCTGCGGAAGCGTTCCTGTGGTGATGTTGGAGCCTCGGTTGTTGCCGACGATTGTAGCACGTCGTCGACTGTTCCGGTTCGGCCCGCTACCCTTCGTGGTCGGCCCCGACGGCGTGTCGGCTCCGCAGCTGTTCTTCCAGACTATGTCGACCTGGGGGATTGTAATTGTGTTTGCCAGTTTTGTGGCGCATATTTTTGGGTTTCCGAAAGGAGCTTGAAGCTATCTACAGCTGGTCGTCCCAGATATAGTCGCTGTTGCAAATCTGGTGATGTCATTTTGCCCTATCCTTCTACGTTTCCAGTTGATTACATGTCGCTTTTCAGGAATGATACTTTTTTTAGGGACATTAGGGCTTATAATAGTATGTTCTCCATGACATCTTTTGGGGCTAATGTGGATGACGCCATAAATGACAGTCGTGGCCCGTATGTCTTCAAGGTTTCAGGTTAGATCAGCCATAAGATAGGTTCTCTCTGTCCGGATCGTGGCCCGTATGTCTTCAAGGTTTCAGGTTAGATCAGCCATAAGATAGGTTCTCTCTGTCCGGATCCTATAAAGGGGCCTAGATTTCTTCAGTTATATCTGTTTGATACGGCTAATGAGGTTCAGAACAGGTTGAAATCGTTTCAAAATCCTCGCACAAATGTTTTGGATGAGAGCATCGTTAGATTTTTAGTGTGTTTTCTCAAAAACAATAATGAATATGTGCGGACCTTTAAGACTGCGAAACAGCTTGCAGACGAGATGAACATGCCATCATATTCTGTTCGGTTGTTTAATGATGTTCGTGATCGGAGGTATGATTTACCTACACCTGGGTCATTAGGATGTATTGTTACTGGCGATGATAGTGTCGGAGCACGTTACGACATTGTCGTTCATTCCAATTCTGGTCCCCCTTAACGTATTAGCAAACTCCATCCTACCTATATGCCTCTACATTATCCAATTTTGTTTCCATATGGTGAGCCTGGATGGTCTCCAAGTATGAAATTACGTAATGAAGTTGGTTCAGGGGCAAGAAATCTGACTGTTAATATGTATTATGCATACCATATTCATTGTCGTCACCACATATGGTCCACTATTCTTAATTCTTCTCGGCTGTTTCAGCAGTATTTGGTAGACGCGTTTACATGTATTGAGGATGGTCGGCTAAATTTCTTTGCTACACATCAGGAAAATCTTAGGTCCGAAATTGTGGGTGGCATGTTTGATGCTCTTTCGAAAGGTGACAGGGAGTCACGATCGGTTGGGAAACGGATTTTCTTGCCGGCGTCCTTCACCGGTGGTCCTCGCTACATGTATAGTCACTACCAGGATGCTTTAGCAATTTGTAGGGTATATGGTAATCCACAGTATTTCATCACATTTACATGCAATGTTAAATGGCCAGAGATTACGCGTTATATGGATGCTCATGATCAGAAGGACCCGCAAAGCAGGGCAGATATCATTGCCAGGGTCTTTAAACTGAAAGTGCAATCATTCATAACATTTCTAAAAGAAGATAAACCTTTTGGACAGATTGATGCGTGTATGTCGCTTTTATCATCCGACTTTAAAATCTACTTTTCATTGTTCAGAATATTTGTTATGCTCTTCTATATTGTCGTTTGCTATTCATTGTCCTCATATCTTTTATGCCATGTAATCCTTTCAGATAATTTAAATAATGCCTTTTGTTATTATATAGTTTCATTCCTTTTCCACTACTTATATAACATATATTTTTGTGTCTTTAGATTTGTACACGATTGAATTTCAGAAAAGAGGCCTTCCTCATTGTCACACATTAATTTGGGTGAATAGTAAGTATAGGATAAAGAGTTCGGACGAGGTTGATGCATACATCACAGCGGAGCTGCCTGATCCATTATTGGAGCCCCAACTATATGCAACAATAACAACATCTATGATACATGGTCCGTGCGGTCTGTTGAACGAAAAAGCTCCATGTATGAAGGATGGAAAATGCACAAAAAGTTACCCAAAACCATTCTTGGATTCTACTCTTTTTGATACATAGGGTTATGCACGCTACAAACGCAGATCAGATGCGTACCACACAACTTCACGTAGAATTGTTATTCACAATGGATATGTTGTACCTTATAACAAAAGACTTTGTTCCCGATTTCAGGTTCATATAAATGTTGAATATTGTGGATGGAACATGATGATAAAATACCTGTTTAAGTACATCTCAAAAGGAACTGATCGCGTGAGATATGTCATTCAAAAAGATGTGCCTGACAGTCATGTTAGATCAAGTAACAGTGCGAGTGGACAAACATATATCATATCTGAAGAAAATGAATGCATCAATGAGATAAAAAAAACTATTTAGAAGGTAGGTATATTTGTCTGCATGAAGCAGCATGGCGAATATTTGATTTTCCTATACATCACCGGCATCCAGCCGTTCAGTCACTTGCAGTCCATGAAGAGAATAGGCAACCAATTGTCTTCAAAGAAAACACAAGAATAATAGATGTTCTACGTAATCCATCTGCTACTAAGACAACACTTTCTGCCTGGTTTGAAAGCAATGCAAGGGATCCAACAGGTCGCGAATACACATATATGGAGTACCCAAAGTATTACAAATAGGATTCACCCTCCAAATCTTGGATTAGGAGACTTGATGATTTATCTGACATGGTAGGTAGGCTTGTCTTTGTCCATCCATCTTCTGGCGAGTTGTTTTATCTCCATTTGTTGCTGTGTCATCGAAAAGGATGCACTTCTTTTGAAGATGTGCGTACCGCCTCCGGCCAGGTTCACCCAACATATAGATATGCATGTAATGCATTGAAAATTATAGGTGATGACACTGAGTGGCTTATTGCATTCAGCGAGGCTTGCATATGGGCAACACCGTTACAGCTCCGTAATCTTTTATGTAGTTTGTTATTATTTTGTGAAGTTTCTGATCCAAAACTGTTGTGGGAAGAAGCTTATGAAAAAATGTCGGACGACTACATATATAGATTGAAAGCAACATTGCCCGATAGGACCTTTTACGCCGTTGATGATGTAGTTCAGCAACAGTTACTTTCTGATTTAGAAGACACCCTTTCCTCTTCTGTTCCGTCAAGGTCGCTTGCTGATTTCGGTTTGCCAATTCCGTCAGGTGCTATGCTTTCTGTATTACAAAATCGGCTCCTACTCAAAGAGACGAGCTTTGACAAAAAGCTGTTAGCCGATCATCATGCTCAGTTGCTTCCACAACTAAATAGTGATCAGATGGCAATCTATGAAAACGTTGTCTCTTCCATTCAAGCTAACAAACAGATTCTCATGTTTGTTTATGGTCATGGCGGTACAGGAAAGACATTCCTTTGGATAACTATTCTCTCATATTTTCGATCAATTGGAAAAGTTGTCCTTGCGGTTGCTGCATCTGGGATTGCATCCTTATTGTTGCCTTCTGGAACTACAACACATTCAAGATTTAAAATACCAATTGATCTAACAAGCAAGAGGTCATGTGACATAAAAAAGAGAACATCACTAGGGGATCTTATGCGCCATACATCGCTTATCATATGGGATGAAGCACCAATGAGTGATAGAAGATGTTTCGAATATCTTGACAGATCTTTACGAGATGTACTAGATTGTGACGACCAACCGTTTGGGGGTATTTTGATACTTCTTGGTGGTGACTTTCGACAAACACTACCTGTTTCGCCAAAGGCTAAACGAGTGGAGATTGTTGATCTTACATTACCACATTCATACCTATGGACTCTTTTCCAGATTCAGATGCTGACACAGAACATGAGAGTGCTTTCTACCAATGATAGCAATGTGTGTGGATTGTCGACGACCGCCTTTACCGAGTGGTTGCTTCAGGTTGGCAATGGCACAACTGGTTGTCCTGATCCGGATGATCCACGAGATAGCTCTTGGATACAAATCCCTCATTCACTGTTGATACCTCCAATGCACGACTCGCTACAATTTCTCATTGATTCTGTATACGGATCAAAATTACTTAATGCACCAACTGCAAATGATCTGTCAGTGCGAGCAATTGTTTGTCTAACCAACGAAGCTGCCGATTCTATTAATACTATCATCCTCAAATCGGTCAACACGTACAGCAGGATATATAGCAGCACAGATGCAATGGAACCGAATGGAAAGCACACATCAGATTTAGAGGGTTGTACCCTATAGAGTACCTAAATCAGTTGAACTTCCCAGGAATACCACCGCACACATTGGAACTAAAACTAAACACCCTTATAATGTTGTTGCGAAATATCAGGCAACGAGATGGGTTATGTAATGGAACAAGACTTATCGTGTCACAACTGCTACCAACAGTTATTGAGGCCACTATAATTATAGGGGCGTGTATCGGACAACGCGTCTATATCCCTCGCATAAAGTTCGTCCATAGGCCATTGGATTTACCAATATCTTTTTCACGAAAACAATTCCCTGTTAAACTATGCTATGCGATGACGATCAACAAAAGTCAAGGGCAATCACTCAAAAGAGTTGGTGTTTATCTATCTCAACCTGTGTTTTCACATGGGCAGTTGTATGTAGCACTCTCAAGGGCAACTTCTCTAGCTTCGTTGAAGATACTTATAGAACCAAATGATGCTATCCCATACAACGAAACGAAAAATGTTGTGTATAGAGATTTACTGCAGAAAATCTGCCAAAATGAGATGTATCATATCATCACCGCATAACGTTGTTCCATCCATATCCAAACCACACTAGAGCTTATTAATAGTTTACATAATTTTATTATATCCATTCAAAATAGAAACTTACTAACACATTTGATCTTCAATCAGAAATCAACGGTGACCAATGGCCAGCATAGCCGAATTGAAGCGTGATGGGATTGGGAGTCCAATAGACCTGAGAATCATTCGGAAATGGAGGCATGATGTGCGTCGGCATGAGACCTGGTTTGTTGGTGTTGACAGATTCGTAAGTTGACAAAAAACAATAACTACCATCAAATAAGTATATACAAGTCCCATATATAAATCCGTCACATTTTCCAACGATATTGTTGTTTTTTCCACAGGGAGATGCGATACAGATCCTAGGACAGCGGACAAGTATTACATAGAATCGGTGTTGAATGTGTCAGATTGTTATACCATCTCAGATTACAACTGTCCCGAATTAGACAAATATCAAAAGGTGTTGGAAAACGATTTCTATATTGATGTTGGTCTCAGTTCCGTCATAAAACCAATTCCAGACACAATAACCATCCCAACGACTTGGTTTCGTTTTGTCTCTAAACCACAGCTACTAGAACTTGGGGAACACCCACCATGCTATCCAGGTACCAACATAATGTGTTCAATACCTTTCACTCATATCCGTTTACCACTTATGCATATCTGTGATCAGATTTTATTGGGATGCTATCAAAGATAAGAGACTGCACAAAACATGATGGACAACCCTACGTTCTTATCATTCTCACTGATAGCAGGTATATCGTATAACACCTAACAATCATCGCCAATAAATTCATATCATGTATCCTAACAGTTTAATGTCCCATACTTATAGTGGTGATGAAATCCCAATTAATCTGTGGAGGGAATGCATAACGAACGCGACAAAATTCAATCGCAGCCTACTTGCCCCACCACCTGCAATGACAGTAGTAGCAGTCACGAATTTAAAACCGTATGTTTCTGCAGGTCAGGCACAATTCACTATATATAAGATAGACACACTATCATACATGATAATTTTTGCTATTCAGTTCCTTATTGCAGGATCATTACGCCACGGTTCATCACATGCTACCCATGTATATGTGAATCCACAGATCCCAGAAACGAGATCCTTGATGAACCTGTAAGCCTTCCAAATCAAATAAAATATACGAAATCCTATTATAAAAAAAGAACCATAACATTAGATTGAACAACACTGCAGGTACAGTGGTCCAAATCGTCCATCATCAAAACCTTCAGGGATACCAGCAACCTTGAAAGATATCAGACAAAAAAAATTGGACATGCTGGTAAAGATCTACAGTTGTTACCTCGAATCCGACCCCATATCTCTTATAGACACCCTATATTAAAAGACTTTACCATTGCATATACACAGGACAAAACCTTTTTAGTAAGAGCATCCATTACAGAGTTTATGTTCCAAGACAGCTGGTACCAAATGACATGCCCAACCTGCAGAGATCCAATATTCAAAAGAGGTCCAGAATGGTACTGCAGCGCACATTCCAAGATAGAAAAACCCTTACTAACGTATGTGCCATCCCCAAATCATACAACATATCAATATCTTACGAAAAATAATAACAAGCAAATGTTTCTGCAGGAACAGGTTCAGTGTTACAATAACCGATTCCACAGGCACAATTCCAGCAATCATATCTGACACGTCATTTCGAAAACTGCTAAACATGACTTTCGAAGATATACTATCTGATAATACATCTATCAGCAAGAAGAGCCTGCCACAAGTAATTACTCAGCACAAAGGAGAAATAAAAACAATGTCCATCCAAATGCTAAGGACATCCAGTGACGAAAATCTGCGATTCATCATAATCGACATAGAGATGCCAACGACACTTGCACATCCATCGGTACCCGTGACTCCATCACAGCCACCGGTAACAAGGTCCACAATCCAACACAACGCATCCATATCGAAGATAACCACAGGACAAGCTGCAAAGACCCTAACATTCAACACGGATGGTATGTACACACACACAAATACAAATATGAGGTAGACTAAATTACAATTTATGATATCTTCATTTCACACATTACAGATGAACCGGCGCCTTCAGGGGATATCAAACGAATCCGAAAGAAATAAACAAGTTGACACAAAATCATACACTGTTCCTTGCTAACATGTTCCCCTTTTTGTAACATGTTTCCCTTTTGGTAGCTGTAAAAATCCCTGGAAACAATACTCTTCTAATGTGTTAGCGATATTTCAATGTCTGGAAACGGAACAACGTTTCCCTTTGTATGGTTTTGTGTTAAATTTTAACACGTTACTATGTATGTCCTTCAACAGTAGACAAGTTTACTGCTGTTCTACATGCCTTACAAAAATGAAACACACAGAAAACAGTACAAATATATTCATCCATATATAGTTTAATCCATTACGCACTATAATTTACACAAATGTTGAAAATCCCGTTCATTACACTTCTTACACACATGAACATAGAAACCAAAAAATTTAAAACAAACTAAAACCTATACGTTCTATGTACCAAGTTGCCACTTTAATATAACCATAGCCCATTATGACACTTAATATTATCCGATTCTGATGTGATAGAATACAAACTGTGACGACTATAATCCCCTGACATTCCATTTTTAAACGATGCATCCAAAAGAAACGAAACTGGTTATACACACTAACATTTACGCTTAACGAAGACTAACATTTATACATTTCAGATCTTTCATATGCATTCCGATCACATGTCCAACGTTGTAAACCACAATAACACAATGTTAAATGGATGTATTTTGCACAAACAGTTTATAAAAAATATTTATGTTATTGCATTACGACCAAAAAAAACATCACTTCCGACCCCGCAACGCGGGGTTCCCCTCTAGTTTCCATAAATAGAGACAAAACAATCTTGAAAAGTTGAAAGTTATCGAAATCGAAATCTAATTACTGTGTTACCCGCAAAAAGATAAAACTCACAAATAAATAATTATAGTTTTATGACTTTTATCTTCAAATTAGGACAAAAAAAAAACGTGAGTTATCATTCTCATTGACTCATTTCAACTATAAGAATGGTTCACGGAAACATCCAAAAATAAAGTTTATCCATTTTTTTTTCTTATTTTTACACGACTTTATGTGATTTGTGTTTTTAAATTTTAATGGTATTGAGATAACTGGTTAGTGGTGGTCCCTGTTCTTATTTTTTCCGTTCTTTTCAAGTTGTATTTTATGGAGCTGTGGGTTCCAGTTTTGTAACCTACAAAAGATTTTGAAACAAATGAAATAGATACGCAATTGAATGCATGCAATCAGTAGTCAGGGAATATAAAGAAACTCTATGATTATTAACTTTCCCAAAATTGATTTGCTCCACTTCATTTTAAATGGTTAAAATACAAAAGTTCGTAGTTGTTGTGACAAACTTATAACTATTACTCCATCCACAACTGTCTGTCCATATAACTATTACTCCATCCACACCTGTCTGTCCATATAAACTGGTTGAAGTTTGTTGGGCTTCTTTTCGTCCATTTTTATCTTTCTATCATTTATCCTGAAAGAATCTATTAATTAGGTTCAAATACACTCCACATCACAGGTATGAGGCGTTGTTATAATACAAGTAGGGATGGAATTGGTACGGTACCAATTCATTTTTCTCTAAACCGTGTACCGTACCAACTATAATTGGTAACAAAAAAATGTTACCGGTACCGTACCAAGTATACTTGGTACAAATATAGTTGGCTACCAACAAGTTTGGTTGGTACAAATTGGTAATGGTATATACCAACTTCTTTTAATTTCTATTGTAAGATTTAAAAATAAACAAAGACATTGAGTAATTTTGATGTTTAATATAGAAAATAGTTACGTAGTTCTTTTAGTTTACAAAAGAATTCTATTGAACTAACGCTAAAGTAACGTTTTCATTTTGTGCTTTAACGTGGTAGTAACTATTGACTAATGCGACCAAATGAATTGTATAATATTCTTGAAAATGTTAACACTAAACACAATTAGCAGTTGAAATATACGATTTTGTTTATATATATATATATATATATATATATATATATATATATATATATATATATATATATATATATATATATATAACAAATGAATTGGTTGGTACGGTATTACCATGGTATTCTAACTTTTGTACCATTACCGTACCAACATCGCTCAATTGGTACGGTACTACCAACCAAACATGTTGGCTACCAATTATATTGGTTACCAAATTTATTGGTTCGGTTGGTAACATGTTGGTTGGTTGTTCATGGTACAATTTTGCCAGCCCTAATTACAAGTTCATTTCCTTTGGAGGGATGTCTTATGGATGTAGATGAGAGTGTCGGTAATTTTTGTGTCATCAGGCTCATTTTAGTATAATGGAATTTACAAATTACCTATGGAGTTCAAATCTTGTTTTTAAGACAAGTTAGGTGACGTGGAATGCACGCTTGAATATAACGATTTTGATCTCGGTTCGACCAAATGACAGGGGAAGGGGCATGTGCCCCCTTGTGGGGTCCAAAGATAGCGCCCCTGGCGAGGGTAGAAATTTTATTTGTTAAGGAAAATGTTATGGAAAATCTTAATTTTGAAATATATTCTCCATAATTATCCTTGAAACATGTTGGATTAAGGTGTCGAAGCTCATAACTAAATTGTTATAAACTTGAAAATAGAACCAAAGTCTTTTTTGGGCTGCCCTCATAACCAGAAATATCTAGAAATGATGTTACGAGAGAGAGAAAAATAATTTGTTAATATATTATGTAATTGATATATTAATTAGAAATAGATAATTGATATGTTAATTTGTTATGTGATTAATAAATTAACATGAGCTCAATAGTTAAATAATTGATTTGTTAATTTATATGGTTAAAAAATTAATAAGAAATAAATTAGAATTAATTAATTATTAATTAGAATTAATTAGAAATTAATTTGGGATTAATTGGAATTAATTAAAGGTGCAATGATGAATTGTAATTGTTCAATAGTTATACAAAAGAAGCAATTCTAGAACCTTACATGTCATTGACGGTTTTGGAGTCTCTTCTAGGGTTTCTGGAAGCCTCCTGGATGCAGATAAGGAAATTATTTGAATTGGAATTAAATCTGTTATTTAATTAATTCAAATATGTCTTTACCTGCAATTTACCTAAACTATAAATAGGACCATGAGGCCATCAATTTTCGTTCATGCCTTTTCCTACAAGCATAGGAACGAAAATTCTTCCTCTCTCCTCTCTCTCATCTTCATTGTAGGGTTTCTAGGTTTTTGGTTGTGAGCCATTAGAGGCATCATATTTTTGGTGCTTGCTTTCCAAGGCTTTTAAGAAGGACTTTTGTTTGGTTATTTACTATAATAATCAAAATGTATGTAAACCCTAACTCTATGCTTATTTTCGATTATTATAGGGTTCCTTTAGGGTTCTTGATGTTCAGAGTTTATTGTTATCAATAGAGAAAACATAGATCCAATTAGCTTGTATGTGAACTTAAGATTTAAGTTATTTCCCGCCTCATGCAAAGATTTATAACCAATAAAACACATCAGTGGTATCAGAGTCATAGTTTTCTAGTTGATTGTGAATAATAGTGAATATATCAAAATTAAGGTTTATAGAAATTAAACCCTAATCAGCTTGAATTTTCACAAATGGCTAGGGTTCTTGAAACCCTAACCTCCACCCCTTAAAATTTGAAAATGGCTAGGGTTCCTTAGGGTTTTCTAGTTTCCTTAATGCGTTAAAATAGAATAATTAAAATTGGATAACCTACACCCTAATTTTTGAAAATTAGATAGGGTTTTGGATTAGGATTAAATTTAAATTATTTAATTAATTGTTTAATAGTAAATAATTATTTAATCCATAAATAATTTAAATTAATTTAATTACTATTTAATTAAAGGATAAAGATTAAATCATAATTGGTTTAAATTTAATTAAATTAAAAGTTTAATTTAGATAATTAAAAGTTTAAACCTTGTATTTTGAAATGTTTTAAAATACACCTTATATATTATTAAAAGTTAATTATTATATGTATAAGAATAAGTCAGTTGAATAGCTATTATACCTCATTCACGAAGCCATACTATAAAGGGGGTATAAGGAAACGGTATATAAAATTGCCGTCATTGGGTGTCCACTCTCACCCACCACTCCCTTATATGGTGGAGGGTCATTTGCAGAACGGGTTCGATAGGATATAACCTCATTAAAAGTATAATGATATAAAAGTACCAGAACCTTCATTATAAAATATCATTCTAGTTACTTTAGAAAAAATGTGAAAAGTATGTTAATCCATGAAAACACACATCATGCTTTATATGTCGTTAGTGGAGCGTGTGTGGTTAACCGGCACACTAATAAGGACTATAACGAGATATGATGGGTATCTTGAATATTATCAATGTTAATGGAGCATGTGTGGTTAACCGACACATTAATTTGAGATGATAAAAGACATCGAGGTTGCCAAGCGGGTTTGCATGGTTATTTACATCTTGTGTGTGATCCTCAACATCCCAGGCACAAAAGTGAGAGCATAATTTGAGATTAAACATGTCAAGCTTCAATGAATCTCAAAAGATCTAGGAGTTTCGTAAGATTGAAATTGGTAAAAGCCTTACCTATCTAGAATATAATTGAATTTGATTACGGCATCCCTCTTCAAAGTTCGAATCGAAAATATGAATCATAGCCTTAATTTCAATTTATGGGTTAATAATTAAGGATTAAAATCAACTAACTTGAATTCTATTTTTCCCACTTTTAGAGGTCTTATGAAGATAGAAATGGTCTTCCTCATTCTTATGGAAATGGTTTTCCTCAATCTTCTAGAGATGGTCTTCCAATTTCAAGTCAAAGTGAAATTGTCTCCCTTCCTGAGGAAATGATGGAACTGGACATCATCTATCTTCAACTCTTCCACCCCCACTAGTACAAAAGTGACCTACGGTCACACTTTCCGAAAAAACGGCATGTGACACTTTTTATTAAAAGTGTGGCCAAAGGTCACTAAAAAAATTTAGAGACTGTTTTTGGATACATTTAAATTAGTTTGTGTGGCCATTATAT